AAAGGAAAGGAAAGGAAAGGAAAGGAAAGGAAAGGAAAGGAAAGGAAAGAGAAAGGAAAGAGCTACATGTTAATCATAATTTAGCTTAAGTCTTTAGTTTAATTTCAACATTTGTGACTTTAGTAAAGTAACATTTTATATTAAATACTAACAAGCTAAGCCGCTATGAGCTTACATGAGTTATACACGACCATACAAATTGGTTTTACAAATATTTTTCTGTTTTCATAAAAAATAATTCCAAGAAACATTCCCGGCTCAGAACAGTGAGAAATAATTATTTAATATTCACATTTTTAACACACAAAAATCCTATTTACCCACCAACAATTTTCCGCATTTCTTTGTAACAAAAATAATTGCTGATCCGCGACGTGATGTCGTAGCTAGCAAAGTTGATACTTTAAATATATATATATTTTTTTATTAGAAATCGTAGTTTAATTCATTTAAACTTTTTCCAGATTAGTTCTGGGAAATTGGTCATTCACAGCGTGGTGTATTAAATCGTAAAATGAGATAATTTAGTATTCAGTAATTAGTCTTGCGTAAAAGCATTGAAGTCATTTGACGACGTAAATGCATTCTATGGCGAGTCGAAGAAAATTGCTCTCAAAATTATTCTTTATATATGAATAAAATTCATTTATCTAGCTTTTCTTTTTTTAGGAGAAAAAGGGTTCTTATAGGCTCTCAAAATTTTGGATTTGCTAACATTTTATTGAAATATATACGTACTCCAGTTACGTTGTCTCACTGCTAATGTATTCTTTTTAAAGCAATTCAAAAATATGAAGAATCTTTGCCAAAATTATAGAAATTTTTGCCTAAATTGAATTCCAATCCTTTCATGAAGAAAAACTTCGTATGCCACTGACTCGTATTTATATATACTTGGATAATTCTTGAGGGAATAGTTATTAAAGATATAAGAAAAGAACTGAACAATTAAAATAGAAACCTTACCTTTCAAGTCATCACGTACTTCAGCGCTTTTTCGTTGTTATTATTCTGAAAAGAGAGTGGATTTTCTTACTGAATGTGTATATTTTCTTAACATATTGTAAATCCCACCAGAATTCCCTAAGACGAAGGTTGTTTTATCCCGAACGTTTTTTCTCGCTTGACAGTTACTGCTCTTTTTTCTTGATTCCGCAAAAACAATGAAAGGAGTAAAACTAGTCGAAGCTGAACTCTTGACGTCTAAAGCTAAGAACGACCCACTCGACACAATTAGCAAATAAAAACCCTCTAGATTTTGAAGTCTCCGGTCCGCTGGTGACTCTTCCCTTAGCTTGTCTACCTATATTGCACAAACGAATATTTATATCTAAGCAAAATTATGTTTTTTTCCTCGTGAGATATCAATGCCCAGGGCCAATCTTAAATAATTATATTTGAATCGTCAAAAAATTATTAGCACTATAGGCTATATATAAAAGTGAACAAACGAGCGAGCAAATATCGTCTAAATACCTAAACGAATTCAGCGGATGAAATTCTTAATTAAAAATAATTTTACACTGTAATCCTTCGAAAGGGATAAAGAAATAAGGATTGGTCTGGATACGATTAGATCATGTCGTTTAGCGTTTTTTAGACTCGCTTTTCGCCATTTTTTTTGAGAATTCTTTTTTGATCTGTTAACTATAGTAACGCACTCTTGTCACGAGTCTATAATTCATTTCATTCATTCACTGTTCTTTTCTTTTCTTTTCTCTTTCTCCTCTCATATTTCTTTCCCTTTTTTTCTTTCTTTCTTCAATTCAATTTCTTTAATTTCTTGTTTACGTTTTCTTTCTTGATTTCTT